TAATTCATGTTGTTCACCACAAGCAGTGTGTTTACCGTTGTCTTTAACAAATTTATATAGATCAGGTAATACTATTTTATGTCAAATAAGTCAATTTTCATGAACTGATTATATTAATATCATTGAATAAATTAATCAACCTTCAGATTTGACACTACTGAATTAAACATATTCAATATATTTTTTAGGATGGTCAAATACTAGTAGCATAAATATTGCACGAGATTCTCACACAGCATCCATATTACCAAATGGAAATGTTTTAATTGCTGGTGGATACAATAAATCTGTTTTAAGTAGTGCTGAATTGTATAACTTATTAAGAGGAACTTGGACAATTACTGGTAATATGAATAATGCACGATATTTTCACAGAGCATCATTATTGTCAGATGGAAAAGTATTAGTTACTGGTGGAAATGATGGTGAAGGTCAGCAAAAAAGTGCTGAGTTGTATGATTCATCAATAGGAGCTTGGATATTAATCAATAATATGAATACACCACGAGAATATCATACAGCAACTGTATTAACTGATGGAAAAGTATTAATTGCTGGTGGATATAATGGTATTATTCAAACTAGTACTGAACTCTATGATCCATTAACAGGAAATTGGACATTCACTGGTTTAATGAATACACGACGACACTATCATACAGCATCTATGTTAAAAAATGGAAAAGTCTTAGTTACTGGAGGATATGATGCTATTACTATTTTAAAAAATGCTGAATTATATGATCCATCAACAGGACTTTGGACAATTACTAGTAGTATGAATAATCCACGATATTTTCACAGAGCATCATTATTATCAGATGGAAAAGTATTAGTTACTGGTGGAAATGATGGTGGAGGTCAGCTAAAAAGTGCTGAATTGTATGATCCATCAACAGAAACTTGGACATTAATCAATAATATGAATACACCACGAGAATATCATAGAGCAACTATATTAACTGATGGAAAAGTGTTAATTACCGGTGGACATAACGGTACTTTTTATCTAAATAGTGCTGAATTATATGATCCATCATCAAAAACTTGGACAATTACTTACAGTATGAATATCCCACGAATTCGTCATACAACATCCTTATTAACAAATGGAAAAGTGTTAGTTATCGGCGGAAATAATAACGACATTTATCTGAATATGACAGAAGTATATCAATCATCATAAACAGATTTTTTTTTCAAATATGTGATTAATTGTCTTATTCTTGTCTAAACAATGTGTAATCTTGAGATTTAAATCAATATAAATTAATGAAAACAATTTGTTTTGTTATATTTTATAAGAAGTACAACAATTTTCGACTTGATAAGATCGTTTTCGATCAGAAACGGGACTAAATAACAGATGGAAAAAACGAATCGTTAAGACACTTCATCAACTTGTAGTAGATATTCTGCTGCATACGTATTATCTCAAAATATAATGAGTTATTGTTTGTTTCTTTTCTATGTAAACTGTATGTATTTTCATTCTGAAACTGCATACAAATCATTTTCTAACAGTCAAAACGTGAAAATTATGTTATTTTCTCGATTTTAGAGCAAAGTTCAATAATTTCAAACTGAGACTTGGATAATTTTGGAAAGGGTGTGGGTGTGAGTTCTGCTTGAACAATTACCCACACCCAACGCCCTAGAAAGAATAGCATAGGAGAAAATCATTTTCTAACTTTGATATACTTCGCCGTCAGTAATGATAAACTTAGCAAGTATTCTTTCAAATCAATCTCGATATTTTCAAATCTTGCAAGGAGAGTCTCTATTCTTTGTTGAGTAACGTTAGGTCATTATGACGAATTCTTCCAAATGAAATGATCAGGCTTGTTGAATGACGAAATAGGTCTACATATATATATAGATAAGAAGCACAATGTAAGGACAATAAAAAGAAATCAAAAGATGAATAATACAATGACCAAAGAAAGAAGAAGAGACAAAAAAAAAGAGGTCACTCTTAATCGTATCATAAATAGTGGTACGTATAAATGGAATTTTAGAGATTTTCTACTTTTGGGATTTTGTACATTCGAGATTATGCCTTTTGAGCTTTTCACTTTGGGTCTTTTGCCACTAATTCTTAGATAATCTGTCAAAAAAAGATTTTTTTCTTCGACGATTGATTGAGTATAAGTGGAATGGATTTTATCGTCGATTTGAGTAAATGATGAATAATATGTAATCATCTTTAGTTTGATCTTTTGATCATCAAATCATAAATAATTCCAAAATAAAAAAAAACGATATGAATTAAAGACAATTATTGAACAAATAACTTTACTAAAATAGAGTTTAAAGAATATTCGGTAGAAGAAGTTCGAATGAGAATTTCGAGAGGGTGTAGATGTGGGTGTTGACCTTATTCACTTGCACCCACACTCTCTCGTTTTAGCGAGTTTCAAATTAGAAATAAGAAAAAAAACAAAAATAAATACTTTTTAATCATTTTCAACCAGTTTCGATTTGATTATCTATACTTTCATTCGAAAGTTAATGAGAATGTTTTATGAATTTTTCTCAGAAATACAAAAACTACAGAAAATACTCAAATTGTCCTATTTAAATCCTATCTTATATAAAAGAAAAATGAATCGTATGACAAAGAGATGATAAAGTTCAAATAACAAATTGTTCATTCTATTCATCATTATTACTTGGTTAATGATCGATTATTCAAACAAGAATAGACAAATATAATTGAAATCGAGAAAGGAAAAAGAAAAGAATCGAAATGATTTTATGTAATATCGAATGAGCAAAAGAACAAAATAGTTAAGAAAAAGTATTACTGGAAAATCAATCTTCGATATAAACTCAATTATCATAAAAAAGCAATCGTTTGTAAACAACAATAAGACAGTCTAGCGGAGATAACTATTTACTTGTTGGAATAAAAAGATGTTGAAAACAAAGAGTCAATTGAACAACGTTGAGTAATAAAGAATTGAAAAGACTATGTGAAAAAGTTTTTATACAAATATTCTCATACAAAGGTAATAAACAATTTTTATTGGGTTTAACAGACAGAAATAAAAATAACGACAGATAATCATTTCTTCTTTAAAGAAAAATCATAAAATATTCAATCATAATGTTTTTTTTTAAATCAAGTCCTTTAGTTCTTTTGTGTAAGATACATGAAATGAAAAATATTTATACGACTGTTACATACATTCGCACACCCACACCCTTACTTGAAGATTCTAATTTCAAATTAATTCAAAACTTTGCGTTGATGAAGTTTTCTGGAAGATAAATTCATTTTACCAGATGTAGATTTTTGGGAACCCTCTATCTAGACATATTAATTTATGAGAGAAGTTTGTTTTAATCAATATAAGACCAAGTCTTTCATTCAATATTCTCTATGTTGAGTCAGTCTTAGCGTCAATGTTTCACAGATCAAAGTTCATAACTGTCTTCACGTTACGATTTGTTTTCTATGTTTCTAGAGATTTGAGAAACATGCTATTGTACTCTTCGTAACGCTGGTCAATTAACTCGTGCGTTAATCCGAATTCTTCAAGTGTATATGTATTCCGTCCTTGCTTGCCTTGAGGATTTTCACGGAGCCATGTGATCATTGCTTGTCTAAAGTCCTCTGACCATACGAGTCCAAAATATTCGTAGATGCGACGAATAATATCGATTGGTTGTGCCATAAGGTCGTCATAGAGCACGTCGAAAACAGGAATATCTAGATTAGTACGATGAAATTTAATGAGACGATGAATCATCATATCCATTATTTGAAAACAGCGATCTACAGTTGCACTTCTCTTTGTCTCCTCACTGGCATTATTGCCATAGAAATAGGCTCTCCTAAACGCGATACACATGCGAGCAACTGATGGTAATACATCGTCCAATCGGCGATGAGTCATAATAAGTGAAGCCGATGGATAATGACGTAGTAGAGTATCAAGAAAAAGCGCATGGACCGGTGTTTTCAGCAGCCAATGAGATCGAGGCGCATCAACACTGTTCAACATTTGTAAAAATGTCTTGTGGTACTCATAAGCGAACTCCTTGTTTGTATCATTTAAAAACCACATGACGAGCTCAGTATTGTTATAAGACGCTAGCATCACATCAAGGATATTTACACCAGCTTGTTCCAGAATCATTAAGTCTTCCTCGTACATATAGAAGGAGTGTGATACGTACAACTCTCTTGTGTAATCATGCAAGTCTAATGTGTTAAACATGTCACTAACCATGTTTGCAATGGTATTCTGTCGTGTTTCTTGGGTGGAATACGAGCGAGCAAGTGGTGGGACTGGCTGCATCATGTCAGTGAATAATGGCGCCCGACATGCTGGATCGCACGCAAGCAAATTATATAAGAGTGTTGTGCCAGTACGACCGAGTCTACAAAGGACCAGTGAAGGTGGCATCGAATTGGCTGTCGTTTTTACTTCTGGATGAGTGGCTACATAGTTTAAGTACGCGCTTGCAGTTTGCGTAATTTTGCTCCAGTTTCATACAGAATAGCTGACGACCGACCGGCAACAGTCGATCATTAGCGAGTATGGTACGAGCATCCAATTGAAATGCTCGTAAAATCTCAATGTGATAACCGAATTGTGTTTTGACTTCTTGAGGATGGGTGTGGGTGTGGGTGTGGATGGGTGGGTGTGGGTGTGAGTGTGGTTGTGGGTGTGGGTGGGTGTGGGTGTGGGTGGGTGTGGGTGTGGGTGGGTGTGGGTATGGGTGTCGATGTGGGAAGAGAAGAGATCAGTGCCCACACTCACACACCCACACCCTTTTTCTGCCTTCGATTCACGCTATTGTACGCTCTTCAAGCTGTTCGAACGATGAGTAATAGAACAAGCAAAAATGACGATGATTTTTTTATGAGTAAAAAAACAATGTATCTCATTAAAACATCTTAATTAATGATAGAACAAGCAAAATGAGAATAATATTTTCATGAGAAAAAAAATCAGGTATCTCATTAATATACCTTAATGAATGATAAAACAAGCAAAACGAGAATAATATTTTCATGAGATAAAAATCATGTATCTCATTCATATACCTTAATAAATGATCGAACAAGCAAAAAGACGATAATACTTGTATGAAATAAACAAGGTATCTCAATTATATTTGATAATTAGTTATTTCAAGGACACGGATGAAGACACACAAGCCAAACTTATATTAATGATGTACATATAAGTAACGTCTTGTTTTTATCTCTAGTACAGAATAACGTCGATATATTCTGGTCGTTAGCACACAAAATTTCGTATAATACAGAGGACAAAGGTAAATGTTTTGAAATTGCATTTTATTTAGGGAGCGTTTTTTATCATCAGTATTCAGTGAATTTTTCTATTCTTAAATAGTATCACTAAGCTTATATTATTCTTTTTTTCGTATCATAGTATTTTTTTTCCTGCCGGCAAAAATATTTCGAAATTCAGTGTGAAATGAATAGCAAATATTAACTATTGTAAAGCCGTGCTTGTCGCAAAACATCTGTAGCAGAAATTGTTAGTCAACTCTGTGTGCGTATGGATGTGGGTGTGTCGGATGTGAGGGTGTGGGTGTAGGTATGGGTGAGTGTGGCTGTGGGTGTTTTCATCATGCGCACACTCACCCCTACCCCCACACCACTTGCATCCACATCCACCCCCACACCCCATCCCACACCCCATCCCACACCCAAACCAAGATTCAGACCCACACCACCCACATCCACACCACACCCATTCCCATCTACACCCACACCGACACTCACACCCATCAACGCCCGTACACCGATCCACGCTCACACCCACACCCCACTCACATCCACACCTACACCCATCCACTCATACACTTCACGTGTCCGCACCCATACCAGACCCCATCCACACCCACATTCATGACTGGGTTCAAGGATACTCTGGACTAATGTCGGATTTTTTTAAAATGCAAGGCACCAGTTTTTGAATGACTCTTCAACATTGATAGCTATCAAGTTCAGATTTTAGCCATTTGATAGAGCGGCGGGGGAGGGGGGAGCGGTGTCTATCTATATGAGATTCCTTAGGACCGAAGAAGTTTTTTCCGGTAAATATTGAACTGATTTATTTTTCGTAATCAATTTCCATTTGTTTCCATAGAGACCTAGGCTTAAATTACATCAAAATCTAGCCTGAAGGATACTGTATCTGT